TGAGCAGGTCAGTGTGAGCATGACAACAATGGTGAACTCCATCACTGATGCATGCTCCAACATCCAGGTAAGGAAACTTACTGAGGTAGCAACTCTGTCCGAATTCTCCGGATCACCAGGGGTACAGCTGGCAGACAACACAACCAAGCCGTACTTCATCAGCCCGGCTGTCGGTGCACAGCTCAACACAAACCATTCTGCCAGCAAAGACACCCACAAATATCTCTGGACCGAGCTGACCTTTGAATAAGGATTCTAAGCTAGCTACCATATGGCTTTAGCTAGCAAGTGAAAAACTGAATCAGTGTGAGATTTAAATACAGTGCAGAATGATATCAGCAGAACCCCACAGCGCCTCTACCGTGCCTAGTGACAACCCACCCCCGTTTACCTAAATCATACATCTGTGCTCGCTGCATCTCAGTGTGACGTTCACCTGAAGCTGCTCAGGTAAGGTAATGGAAATCATGCCGCGTACAATAAAAGACACACAGACTGGTTTGGAGGATAATACTCGTGTTTACTGACAGAGAACTGTTAGTGCAAGCTTTACAACAGGAAGACGCTCTGCGAACAGAAACCCAGGCGTACGAAACTTGAAACGCTACAGTGGGGCGGAGCCACCAATCACCACGCAGTTCCCGCTCACACAGGCATCTGCAGCTGGGAGTACTCGTCCTGCCCCTCCTTCTCCTCCAGAGTGGGCTCCACGTCATCAGCGTCTAGCTGCAGGAGCAGAGGTCAAAGGTCAGGACGATGGCGCAAATGTTTTAATAGAGCTAAAAGCTTTAAGTTTGGAGCAGAAATGGTTAACGACGTCACACCGCCTCTGCAGGTGAGTGCTACCTGTGTTGTTATCACAGCTCAGTGCATTAAAACTCTAACAACCAATAAAAGTATTTTTATCATCAGCCTGAAATCTGATTGGCTGCTGAGAGAATTCTGGTTGAAGATGTGCCGTTCATGTGTAGGTTGGGTTCAGCGATCAGATCGTGTGACTCACGCTCTGCAGCTCTCGGCGGGAGAAGAGGCGGGGCAGCAGCAGCATCCTCACGGGGATGGTCAGCAGCAGCATGAAGGGGAAGGCCAGCGCTGCCGCTGTCGCCATGACGACCCACAGCAGAGCCAGACATGTCAGCTGGACGAGAGTGAAAAGGTGCATCCTCAAAGTCCGCACCTGTGAGACAGCAGAGGACAGGTGAGAAGCTGGGACGGCGGTTCAGACCGATAGCGCCGACGTCGGAGGCTGAAGCTTGACCTGGAAGCTCACCTGAAGGATTCGTCTGTGACAGCGGGGGGAACGTCCAGGTTTCTATATCCTGTTGTGCTTGCCTCATAAAGCTGAGTACACACCCACTCTGATCACCTACAGTATAATACTGACCGCTCTCGCTGTTGTTTGCTCGTTCCAACAGTCGGAGGTCAAACCTGTGGCTCAGCTGAGAATTATCAGACTATCTGGATTTGTTTGGCACAGTTTATAGATGTGAAATTATTTTGTACCTTTATTAATCGAGTATGACTGTCTGCACAAAGCTGGTTACAGTTTGGATATTTTCGTCTGTCTGTACATAATCTGTTCATAACTACTGGGCGACCGCTCAACGCAGTGAGCTAAACCGGCACCCGTGAGCAGACACGCCGGCAATACCTGCATCAGCATGCAGTTTTCCCTGCAGTGTCTGTGAGCCACAGGGAATGACTGACCTTGCGGACGTAGTTGTGGTTGGGGTGGTATTTTGGGGGCATCAGCAGCAAGATGAGTCGCTCAGTGAGCTGGATCCCATTCAGGGACATCACACCCATGTAGAGGAAGATCCCGAACAGGACTGCCAGTGGGATCTGACGCAGAACTTCGCCGATGACGATGGAGAGACCTGACAGAGCAGACAGCAGGTCAGACGTCGCAGCAGCACACTGCGAGCAGCAGAAGCGGCACTGATACGCTCTACGGTAGTCGTACCTACTAGAAACGCCACCAAGAAGCCCGTCACCCTCTGCTCCTTCACCTCCTGGATGCGAGGCTTGTCTCCAGGGGCAACGGCTTTACTCATGACGGTCAGGGCATTGGTGTGAGTCACAGACCGAACTGTGGCGGCCGACAGCCAGGGCAGGCCGAACAGTGCCGAGACTCCGCCCACCACCACGATGATTAAAAGATCCACGTGAAAACCGGTTCCCTTCACCAGCATCCTCTCCTTCTTACTCACGATCAACCTGCAGGATAGCGCAGGAAAATGAAGGTCAGGGAAGGAAAACGGAGCAACCTCAAAGATGAGGCTCAGAGTCAAGTAAGAATAGAAAAGAATAGAAAAGAGAGCCTTTACTTAGGACCAAGAGTCAAATAAGAATAGAAAAGAATAGAAAAGAGAGACTTTACTTAGGACCAAGAGTCAAATAAGAATAGAAAAGAATAGAAAAGAGAGCCTTTACTTAGGACCAAGAATCAAATAAGAATAGAAAAGAATAGAAAAGAGAGACTTTACTTAGGACCAAGAGTCAAATACGAATAGAAAATAATAGAAAAGAGAGACTTTACTTAGGACCAAGAGTCAAATACGAATAGAAAAGAATAGAAAAGAGAGCCTTTACTTAGGACCAAGAGTCAAATAAGAATAGAAAAGAATAGAAAAGAGAGCCTTTACTTAGGACCAAGAGTCAAATAAGAATAGAAAAGAATAGAAAAGAGAGACTTTACTTAGGACCAAGAGTCAAATAAGAATAGAAAAGAATAGAAAAGAGAGACTTTACTTAGGACCAAGAGTCAAATACGAATAGAAAAGAATAGAAAAGAGAGACTTTACTTAGGACCAAGAGTCAAATACGAATAGAAAATAATAGAAAAGAGAGACTTTACTTAGGACCAAGAGTCAAATACGAATAGAAAAGAATAGGAAAGAGAGACTTTACTTAGGACCAAGAGTCAAATAAGAATAGAAAAGAATAGAAAAGAGAGCCTTTACTTAGGACCAAGAGTCAAATAAGAATAGAAAATAATAGAAAAGAGAGCCTTTACTTAGGACCAAGAGTCAAATAAGAATAGAAAAGAATAGAAAAGAGAGACTTTACTTGGGACCAAGAGTCAACTTACAATAGAAAAGAATAGAAAAGAGAGCCTTTACTTAGGACCAAGAGTCAAATAAGAATAGAAAAGAATAGAAAAGAGAGACTTTACTTAGGACCAAGAGTAAAATAAGAATAGAAAATAATAGAAAAGAGAGCCTTTACTTGGGACCAAGAGTCAAGTTACAATAGAAAAGAATAGAAAAGAGAGCCTTTACTTAGGACCAAGAGTCAAATACGAATAGAAAATAATAGAAAAGAGAGACTTTACTTAGGACCAAGAGTCAAATACGAATAGAAAAGAATAGAAAAGAGAGCCTTTACTTAGGACCAAGAGTCAAATAAGAATAGAAAAGAATAGAAAAGAGAGCCTTTACTTAGGACCAAGAGTCAAATAAGAATAGAAAAGAATAGAAAAGAGAGACTTTACTTAGGACCAAGAGTCAAATAAGAATAGAAAAGAATAGAAAAGAGAGACTTTACTTAGGACCAAGAGTCAAATACGAATAGAAAAGAATAGAAAAGAGAGACTTACTTAGACAAGAGTAAATACGAATAGAAAATAATAGAAAGAGAGACTTTACTTAGACCAAGAGTCAAATACGAATAGAAAAGAATAGGAAAGAGAGACTTTACTTAGGACCAAGAGTCAAATAAGAATAGAAAAGAATAGAAAAGAGAGCCTTTACTTAGGACCAAGAGTCAAATAAGAATAGAAAATAATAGAAAAGAGAGCCTTTACTTAGGACCAAGAGTCAAATAAGAATAGAAAAGAATAGAAAAGAGAGACTTTACTTGGGACCAAGAGTCAACTTACAATAGAAAAGAATAGAAAAGAGAGCCTTTACTTAGGACCAAGAGTCAAATAAGAATAGAAAAGAATAGAAAAGAGAGACTTTACTTAGGACCAAGAGTAAAATAAGAATAGAAAATAATAGAAAAGAGAGCCTTTACTTGGGACCAAGAGTCAAGTTACAATAGAAAAGAATAGAAAAGAGAGCCTTTACTTAGGACCAAGAATCAAATAAGAATAGAAAAGAATAGAAAAGAGAGCCTTTACTTAGGACCAAGAGTCAAATAAGAATAGAAAAGAATAGAAAAGAGAGCCTTTACTTAGGACCAAGAGTCAAATAAGAATAGAAAAGAATAGAAAAGAGAGCCTTTACTTAGGACCAAGAGTCAGTCAAAATGAACGTCCACCCAAGCTTCTGTCGCCCACCTTAAAGCTGAGAAATACAGTAAAAACCAGGACAGGCTACTTCTCATCGCTAGCGTTTCACTGCCGTCCTTTATCATTTGAAGTTCAATGACACTGTCTGTCAGTGCTTGACACTTTATCGGTGGACCCCCATAAAAGTTAGTCAAGATTAAGAATTAACTCCCACGTAAAGTTTCTAATAAAGCCCAAGTGGTGTGTCTAAAATCTGAAATCATCTACGCTGTTATCTGGGACTCCATGAAGATGAGAATGAAGACGAGTATAGCTGGCAGGATGCTGGCGCCCATCATCCAGGCTGGAAACTGCCCATCCGACCCCAGAAGGGAAATCACCCAGCCTCGCTTCTCTGGGCTGGACACCGAGAATCCGCTGGGCACGTTCAGTTTCTGCGAGCAAAGGATGACGGCAGTTATTTAAAGCCCAGTACAAGGTTCCTTTTTTGAGGCTTAAAATGTGCTCTCCCCCACCTGAGTATAGGTGTCCTGCACACTGTAGTCCACCAGCACCATGATGAGGATGGCAATGGGGACCCCAAAGTCTCCGATGATCCTACGGAGCTGAAACACGCAAAACATCATGTGAGAGCTCAGTAGGTACCAGGAAGGAAACATCCAGATGTAGAACCAATGGGGCAAGTGTGGGTGCATCTGAGCTCATTCAGAACACCTGGATAGGAAGTGAAGCTGAGACACCGGTGGAGGTCTTTGGTGCGTTGTTTTGGGTGTACATCGATGGTATCTGACACTGTGATGGTCTATAACAGCTTAACATGTGTACACCTGTATTTACAGGTAACTGTGCTCATAAACACCAGAGCCTATTAGTTAAAGAAGGTGGGTCATGTGCACGCAGTGACCCAGGAGCTCTTTTCAACCTTTTACTTACTTTACAAAATGTTTTTCTTTACATTTATACTGTCAGCTAAGCCACTCCGAGCCTTAATACAGCACAGAAGGGCTGAATTGTGGGACATTGAGTTTTTACATCCCCAAAGCTGGATTTGATCCCAGCAGACATACAGTGGAGAACGTGAGTGTTATGTGTGAATGCATAATGACAATGAAGGACTCTTCTTTGTGGATACCTTAACTATTTACACCTCAGCTTATCTAAACTGTATACTGAGCTGAACTTGCATACCTGCACTCTTGCAAACATGTGCTGTGTTTGTATGAATCGTTGCAGTTACAGTATCTTCCATCATTCTGTCCAATCAGTATATCTCAGGCTGTGAGGATGAATACACCTGGGCAAGCAGCCAGTCTGTCACAGACTTATGCTCACCTTACCACCTGCAGCCAGTTTAGAGTAATCACTTATCACACTGGTTGTGGAGAGAAACCAGCACATTGAGAAACTGGAGAAAGGACCCCCGAACTATGATCCCAGAGTGCTAACCAGCACACCACCGAGCTGCTCCGTGTGTACTTTCAATCTTTTAGATCTTAGCCTGCAGAACCTCGTATGTACTGTAATGTGTATATACCTGTATGTACCTGTGTTTGTGTGTACTGACCCTTCCAGGGAAGAAGGAGCTGTTCTTGAACTTGCGAAGGTAGAAGGCGATGAAATACGTTCCTGCCATGAGGACCAATGACAGCAGAGCAGTGTTCGGTTCTCCAACAACTTTCCCAGGATTCCCGGAGGCCATAGTGTAGTTGCAGTGAGATGGAGATTCAGTGTTGTTTCCATGGTAACAGTTATGGAGTGGATGCTCCTGAAAGATCTGAGAAAGACCACCAAAGAAGACATTGGCTAAAGTGTCTGTAACTACTTGATGGGCAGCAGGAAGCACTGAGTCTGTCTTGACCTCACAAGACGGAGTCTCCCATCTTCCACCCCTCACACCCAAACTGTTGAGATTGAAATGAACTGATCAGTGTTAGCTCCTGAAGTGCCTGAGCTGTTTCAGACTCTGTTTCCCTCTGCCAAGTGTGTTGAGTATCTACAATGGTGTGAAAAAAGTGACACCTCCCCCACCCACCCCCCGTAGTGATTTCTTTATTAAATAGGTCCTGCTTGACAAAGTTGAGTTGACCAAAAGATCCTCAAAGGCCAGACATCATGCTGTGATCCAAGGAAATTCAGGAACAAATGAGAAACACAGTAGATGTCTCAGTTGGGAAAAGGTTATAAAGCCATTTCTAAAGCTGTGAGACTTCAGTGAACCACAGTGAGAGCCATTATCCACAAATGGCAAAGACAAGAACAGCGAGCCTTCCCAGCAGTGGCCGGCTGACCATCCAAGAGGTCACAAAAGACCCCATAAGAACATCCAGAGAACCACAGGCCTCACTGGCTTCAGTTAAGGTCAGAGTTCATGACTCCATCATAAGAAATAGACTGGGCAGAAATGGCATCCATGGCAGAAAACCACTGCCGAGCAAAAAGAACGTAAAGGCTGATCTCAGTTTCCCAGCAAACATTGTGAAGATGCCCAGAACTTATGGGGAAATACTCTGGACTGACGAGAGTTGAACTTTTTGAGTCCCGTTACATCTGATTTAAAAGTAACACAGCATTTCAGAAAGGGAACATCATACCAACAGTAAACTGGGTGGTTGAAGTGCAATGTCTGGGGCTGTTTTGCTACCTCAGGAACAGGAAGTAAATGGAACCATGAATTGTGCCGTCTACCGAAACATCCTGAAGGAGAATGTCCGGCCATCTGTTGGTGACCTCAAGATGAACCACACTTGGGTTCTGCAGAAGGACAATGATCCAAAACACACCAGCAAGTCCACCTGTGAATGGCTTAAGAAAAACAAAATGAAGACTTTGGAGTCCTGACTAAATCACGACCTCAATAAGGTGCTACCCTCCAGTGTTGACGGAATTACAACCATTTTGGCCATAAAACACTCATTGTCAGTTATCACAAATGATGATGGCAGTTGTTGCTGCTGAGGCTGGCCCAACCAGTTATTAGGTTTAGGGGCAATCACCTTTTCACACATGGCCATATAGGCTCCCCTTAATCACCATTCATTTAGAAACTGCATTTTGTGTTTACTTGTCTTTGTCTAATATTTAAATTTGTTTGATGATCTGTTTCGGAGACCAAACAACCAAGAACATACAGGCGCAGGTATAATCTTCAAAAGATGGGCTTTATTATATCCCAAAAAAGACAAAGTTACCCCCAAAATTCAAAATATTGGAACCAACTAAGAACTAAGTCGGCCCATGAACTCGACTAAACAGAATTCTACTAAAAAATAATCTCGTAAGCCAACAAACTGACCTGCCCAAATAAGAGACAGCTCTATTAATATAGCAGCTGAATGAACCATTTTAAACATCAGAGGTGAAAATGACAAAGCTAAACTTAACAGGAAGAAACTCTATCCCCCCTGTGTGGTCACAACTAATGGTTAAGTCCATTTGTTGGCCTCTGCACTTAAACCAGCTCTGCCCTCAGCTTCCTCTTTTACTTAAACCAGGAAGGACTGGAGCAGCAGCCAGCTTTCTCAGAAAGACAGAAAGTGATTATTACAACATATACCCATAGTACCATGACAAACAATACGAAGTAAATTTGTTACCAAAATTGAACACTTGTGTGACAAACATTTAGAAAAACAGGGAATCGGGACGGGGGCCATGCTGGATGGATCGTGTGGACCGATCACAGTACATCTACATGACTCAAAGGTCCTTTTGTACTAAGCAAGTATCAACTCTATCTTCTGCTGAGCTACCTAAAGAAAAATGGAGAACTATGAAGAAGATTCTGCCTTCGTTTCAGTCCTCATTTTCATATCCTTTGAAAGAATATCTAAATGAAAGAATCTATGAATTACCTGAAAAACTTCTGAACTTACCTTGATCAGCTTGGCGAAGGTCTCATAGATAAAAATGAGAGAGATCAGGAAGGAGAAGATCTCCTGTGTGAAGCGTGAAACAAAGCGAACGAGTATGCTTCCCTCGAAGGCCACGGTAAGGACAACGATGAGCACCAGCCAGAGACCGATCCATGCCCGACCCGTCAGATACTCGATCCCATTAACTTTACAAAACTACACAGGAACAAAGAGGAGACAGGTTTCAGGAGACAGTCTGAAATACTTTGGTCTGATGTTGCTACAGTGGACAAAAAGACTGTTATCATAGATTAGACTGTCCCCATCTCAGCTCAGCCAATGTCAAGATGCTGGAAAACTGAACAACTCTCAGTAATGATGCACAAGCTTCTGCTGAGTTCTTTCACTTTTGTCAAATTTCTACAAAATTAAAATGTAGATCTAAATTAGGTTCTGTACATATAGGCACTGTCCACTGCAGAATTTGAAAGGCTGTTTGCAAACAGGAGATCACCGGATGTAAGTAAAAGCTTTTTTTTCAAGCTGATGTGTTCAAGGTCATTTTGATCGTTTGCATAACTGAGGAGGAAAAGACAATTTCAAGAAAGCTTTGAGTCAAAAAGAAGTAAATCTACAAAACCTTGAGTTTAAAACGTTTCATTTAAATACAGGTTATATGCTGATGTGTCGACTTTGTGTCAGGCAATCTCACAGTGTAGAAGGCCTCTTCGAATACAAGCAGCGGTCCGGAGAAGCCAATCACCAGCAGCGGCTGAGCTCCCAGCACACTGAACACAATGCCCTGCAACGCAGTGGCCACTATCAGCTCCGACACACCGATCAGACCCTCAGTTTTCTCACCTGCAGGGATGAAGATCACAGATCCTCATATGGATCAAAGGTAAGGCGGCCTTTCTTCAGCCAAGCCTCGCCAGGTTCAGACTTACCAAGCAGTCCACCAAAGGTGATGGCAGGTGACAGTGCAGCAAAGTAGATAAAGATAATGGCAGCCATACACTGAGGGTTTAGAGCATCTCGGATGTCGCTGAAATACTGAGGATAGCGCCGCATAACGTCTTTGATGAGGCCTCCAAACAGACGACCTGACCTCCTCAACGGCTCATCACCAGGTTTGGAGGGAACAAGAGAATCTGCAGGAGAAGAGCAAGATTCTTTAACATTTTTGCACTGACATTAAAGCTTTTAGGAAACATGAATATTTTAATATTTAGGGAATAATAAACATTTACCATAAAAGCAGGCAACATGCAAATTTAATGCTCCAGGAAAACGGCTGATTCAGGCAAAACTCCCATCAAAAACCTGTTCTTTCAGCTCTTTTTCAGCTTTTATTACTCAGCTCTAACCTGCTCCTGAAACTGGACTCAGGCAGCTGGGGCTCACCTTCGTCCTGCTGAATGCTGGTCTGTTTCTCCTGAAGTTTGCTGCTCTGCTCCTCCCTCTTTCTGAGCATTTCTCGTTGGAAGTGAGCCACTGAGTGGAGCAACTCGTCACCGCTGACCTCAGAGGGCGGGAGGACGATGCTGCTGTCCAGAAAGCGGTTGATGGCTGTCAGCAGGTCTTGACGGTCGTCTGCCTGGTACGCCGCCTCATGGAAGTTCTAAAAGAACAAAAAAGATTGGACCTCATGATAATAGATGATGCTGATTAATATCTGGTGCCATCAGGAAGTATCTTACACAGTCTGCTGGCACTCACCTTGTCAGACATGAGTGTTGAGATAGAGCGTCCAATCTGATGGTAGTCAATGTTGGCAGTGGGCGGGCCCAGCAGGAGGAAGAGGAACCTAACTGGCACAGGAACCTCCAAGACAGATTCCAGCAGAACTGCCTCCTGCAGTCGCACAAACGCCATGGATGGCTGGTCCAGGAAACCCACACTGCCTGCAGACACATGAGAGTGATGCACTGAACCCAGCGAACATGCTCCTCCACACGGCAACACATGACCAAGAAGGTTATGCATGTCCATGTTCAGTCCTGTGAAAAAGGTTTTGGTACTAGGGAAGTGTAAGTCTTTGATTTTCATCTTTCTCCTTGTGCTACCCAACTAGTCTTTAAAGATACAAGGAGATACAAGAAGCCATGCAGCAAACCCTCCCTGAGTTTTCTTTGTTGCTAGTGTTTGCACCGGTGTGATCGGTGTGATGCATACCTACGAGGACCACAGTGGCCTCAGCTCGCTCTGGGATCTTCTCCATTAGCTTTACCTCATGCTTGGATCTGGAGTGACAGAGCTGTGGGACTTCTCTCTGGACAAGCACAAAGTGAAGTCAGTGCCATACCAACAGGCTGACCTTCATGTCCAGCACATACATCTGACACCAGGCACTCTGAGGTGGAGGCTTCAGCTGTCTGATTGCACAGCATCTCCACCTAAAGTTCAGTTTTTACCTTGTTCTTCTCTCCATCAGCCTCCTTGTGATTGGTCAGGTTGATGCAGGGATCAGATTTTCCATTGTGTCTGTCGATAAGGTTGGCCATGTTTGCTGCAGAGATGTTCCTGCTGAATAAGCTGTGATCTTTCTCATCGCTGGGGTGACTGAGGAAAGAAGAAGAAATGTGCTCAGGAAAAGGCTGGATGGATGGATGGGTGGGTGGGTGGATGTTTGGATGGATGGATGGTTGGTTGTTTGGATGGATGCATGGATCGGTGGGTGGGTGGATGGATGGATGTTTGGATGTTTGGATGGATGGATGCATGTTTGGATGAATGGATGGATGGATGGGTGGATGGTCGGTGGTTTGGATGGACGGTGGATGGATGGATGGATGGTTGGTTGGTTGTTTGGATGGATGGATGGATGGATGGATGGTTGTTTGGATGGATGGATGGATGGATGTCGTCCTCATCACTGATGGGGACGACAAGGAGTACAGAGGACTGACTCAAGACTTTGTGGACTGGTGCCAGCTGAACTACCTCCAGATCAACGCCAGTAAAACCAAGGAGCTGGTGGTAGACTTCCGCAGGCACAAGCATTCTCCACTGCAACCACTGAACATCCAGGGTATGGACATTGAGGCTGTGGACAGCTACAGGTACCTTGGTGTTCATCTGAACAACAGACTGGACTGGACTCATAACTCAGACGCCCTCTACAGGAAAGGGCAGAGCAGGTTGTACCTGCTGCGGAGACTCAGGTCGTTTGGAGTGGAGGGCCCACTCCTGAAGACCTTCTATGACTCTGTGGTGGCTTCTGCTATCTTTTATGGCGTGGTCTGCTGGGGCGGCAGCATCTCTGCTGGGGACAGGAAGAGACTGAACAGGGTGATCCGAAGGGCCAGCTCTGTTCTAGGATGCCCTCTGGACCAGTGGAGGTGGTGAGTGACAGGAGAACGGCGGCTAAGCTGTCATCCCTGTTGGACAACGTCTCCCACCCCATGCAGCAGACTGTGACAGCACTGAGCAGCTCCTTCAGTGGGAGACTGCGGCACCCACGGTGTGGGACGGAGAGATTTCGCAGGTCTTTCCTCCCCACTGCTGTCAGACTCCACAACAAAGACTTTAACTGAACAAACACACACATCCACACATGTGCAATAACACTAAGTGCAATAATCTTTTCTGGCATCGTTGTATTTTTACTCAGTTGTATATAGCATTCGTATTCTATTTTTATCTTATTGTATATTTTTATTCTATTTTATTCTACTGTATATAGTATATTATTTTATTCTATTCTGTACAGCTGTGTACTGTATTTATTCTTATTGTATTCTAATTTTTGCGTCATAACTTTTGCACTGTCCACTTCCTGCTGTGACAAAACAAATTTCCCACGTGTGGGACTAATAAAGGTTATCTTATCTTATCTTATCTTATCTTATCTTATCTTATGGATGGATGGATGGATGGATGGATGGATGGATGTTTGGATGGATGGTTGGTTGGTTGGATGGATGGATGGATGGATGGATGGATGGATGGATGGATGGATGGATGGATGGATGGTTGCTTGGATGGATGGATGGATGGATGGATGGATGGATGCGTGGATGGTTGGTTGGTTGTTTGGATGGATGATGGATGGATGGATGGATGGATGGTTGGTTGGTTTGGATGGACGATGAATGGATGGAGGATGGATGGATGGATGGATGGACGGATGGATGAATGGATGGATGGTTGGTTGGTTTGGATGGACGATGGATGGATGGATGGACGGATGGATGGATGAATGGATGTTTGGATGGATGGACGGATGGATGAATGGATGCACGGATGTTTGGATGGATGGACGGATGTTTGGATGGATGGATGGATGGATGTTTGGGTAGATGGACGGATGGATGAATGGATGGACGGATGTTTGGATGGATGTTTGGATGTTTGGATGAATGGATGGATGGATGTTTGGATGGATGGATGGACGGATGGATGAATGGATGGATGTTTGGATGGATGGCTGATGAATGGATGGATGGATGAATGGATGGATGGCTGATGGATGGGTGGATGTTTGGATGAATGGATGGATGGATGGATGTTTGGATGGATGGATGGATGTTTGGATGGATGGATGTTTGGATGGATGGATGGATGGATGGATAGACAGATGGATGAATGGATGGATGTTTGGATGTTTGGATGAATGGATGGATGGCTGATGGATGGATGTTTGGATGAATGGATGGATGTTTGGATGGATGTTTGGATGGATGGATGGATGGATGGATGGATGGATGGATGGATGGTTGGTTGCATGGATGCACCTGTGACGGAGCAACAGAGCTCCCAGAACATTGGCTCGGTCTTCAGCTTTAATCTGATCTGAGATCACCATCTGTTCCACCACCTGCTGAGCAATCCCTGGTAAAGTCTTCTGCTTCAGATCCAGGAGTATGGCCCCTGAAACCACACAAACGTGAGAGGGTTGGGAAGTCAGCGATGGGCGGCGTCTGTTTGCTTTGTCTCGTGTTTATTCCCTTTTATTTTTCTTCCATCTCTGTAAATCAGTAACTTGTAGATGTTGAATATGGCCACAGAGTGGAGCCCCCTCCTGCTCCCTGAGCTGATAGTTTCAAACACTGATACAGATTATTATCATATGTAACCAGTGAAATTCTTTTTATGGAGGCCTGACATATATATATCACAGTGGCATAGTCCTGGAACCAAATAGTTTTGACAGCAGCGCCCAAACAATATCATTGGCATTTACACCAAGGTGACCCAGAAAGTGAAGTTTTTTCCCTGTTCATCAAGAAGTCCAGCACTGCTGCCATGCATACCTATCACAAAAAGTCCTTCAATAAACCTTCTTGTGCAGCCATCAGCTGATTGATCTTTAATATAACTGCAACATGGGGAAAGCTGTTATTGATAACTACTTTGATTCTGTATGTGAATGTTTCATCTTCAAGTTATTATGAAAGCTAACTGAATTTAATCTAAGGCTTCAGATTAGCAGATGGTGGGACTTGAGTACATGTGTAGCTCCTGAATGGGCTTCAATCAAGGTAGAGTGGAGGAGGCGGCCCTGACTTGGCCATATACACTCACAGACAGGAAGCTGTCCACCGGAGGGCAGCAGAAAGCCTCCGGCTCCTCCTCACCTTGGGCCATTGTTTTTCTAAGCTCCAGCAGAGAACGGAAGGACAGGGAAGCAATGTGAGGTCTCCCCCAGCGCTCTGTCTCCTCCTCCACCTCCTCCTCAAACTTGATCCATCGAGCCGTCTCCCTCCACTGCAGCTCCTGGTTCCTGTCGATCACCAGCTCGTTCAGCTCCACGAACACCTGGAATCACAGAGGACAGCGAGTCTAAAGAGGACGGCGCCATGGCGTGCGCTCACACACAGAGACTCTAGCCAACGATGAAACATGTCAGCACTGAGCTCCTGAACATTTTCACAGAGAGCCGGACTGATGAAGCTCCACAACAGTTACAGATGCTACTTCTTCTTCCAGCTGCAGTAATCTTCATCAGCACATATATCAGTACATCACTATAATAAAGCAAGTCAGAGCACAAACTGAGTCACTGAACACGGTCAACAGAAGCTAAGTCAGTTAAAACCAGAGCCAGTCCAGAGTTACTCTCACATCTGTCACATCTGTCGACCTTCATGTTCACATATTAAACCTAATGCTGTGATTAAACAGGCCCAAAGCAGACTAGAAAACTGAAAACAGGACCAAATGGCTCACATGACCGTTTTTTAATTTGGCACAAATGTAGTTCAGCTGGTGTGTTTGGTAGAAAATCAAACATAAAACAAGAGAAATCAGAATAAAACTAAAGAAAGAGACAAAACAAAGTTAATCCAAACTGAAGCTGGCACGTTAAATCACTCTACCTTATTTTGTCGACTCTTTAGGTCCAAACCCACCATCCTGAAGACTGGAGCACACTGAGTGGAGAGAGGAGCTCGCCTCAGAGTTTACCTAGCTCTACCTGTCTGACTCTGCCTGTCTGACTCGTTCTCATTAAGACAGAGTCCAGTTTGTCACCTGTTCACAATGGCACCTGGATTAACGCACTCAGACTCTCGGCTCATCTTTCGTCCCTCCTGTCAGCCTCACTCTGGTTGTTTTGTTGTGAGAATCACATCATGTGGACCACCTGAACTGGCTCACATGAACTCACCTGAACCTTCTTTAATCAGGTTTAATCCCACAAATACATGACATTCCTGTAAACCTTGCGCTCTGTCGCCAGCTTCAACCTGTGTGTGCGGGATTGTTCTAGCAGAGTCGGATAAACACGAGTCAGAACTTCCACAAAAACGCAGCAGTGACCGAATCCGCGAGGAGCCAAAGTAAGAAGTCAGTGAAGGAAGTGCGAGCTGAAGTAAATCAAAAGAAAAGCACGAAAACAAACTCATCAGGATCAGCTGCCAGCAGTTTAGTCTCAGTTTAAGTGAAGCTGAAGACGATTACATTTGAAACATCAAAATTAGTCAAATCAGAGGAAGTGAGTGAAAAGGGTCAGAGGGACAGGTGTTTAAGTTGAAGCAGCAGGATGTGTGGTTAGAGCACAGTTCAAAGGTCAGGCCTCAGAGGGTCAGAGTGGTGATGAGGATTGGGCTCAAAGTGTTTATGTTTCCTATAATAATGACTGCTCCTTAGCCCCGCCCTCTGACCTCATGAGGTGTACGGTCCGGTCGCAGGTGCTGGTTTGACCAGCTGACCGTCGGATCTTTGGTGGCGTGGACGATCGGTCCTCTGGAGCTCCGCCTCACCAGGTGCCGTCGAACGGCTGGAACGTCATCTAGTCGGTGACCTGCGGTGGACACAGATGTCCCATATTTAATGCTGGCTGTCACAAAGCTCTCACACCAAGCGCCACCCTGAACCAAACAAAAACTGGACTTTAAATAAAGTGTCACAGTGAAGCTGAGGTGAGGTCACAGCAGCTGTCAGAGCTATAAAGAGAAAAAGAGGCAACAGTTACAGTTACACTGATTATTACTTTCTTCTGACATCAGTGAAGAAATACGAAATCCTTCTGACTGGGCTTATATCACAGTTCTGCTCTGAGCACTTAAAGCACTTCACTATCAGCCTCTTTGAGCCGCTCACACATTCGTGCACGCTCTGTTTCTACATTATTACGTTTTCTAACAGTTAGGTGTTATGCTGATGGAGCAGCATAACACCTAACTGATGCTCAGTGTCCCGGAGCCGGGCATCCTACTTTCTTACCACCTACTTCCTGACCCACAGGAAGCTCACCCTAAACTTCAACGACCGCCATGTTGGGGACTGTCTGTCCTCACATTGTGGCTGTATGACCCAGAGTCCCCACAATGATGCAAATCCAGAACACCCTCACACACACACACACACACCCTCTCATGGGAACTTTGCGCAGTCTAACAGGATTTCAGGCTCGGCTGAACATCAGCGAGAAATCATTTACAAGAGAGTCTGACTGTCATTCGATCGCCTGACACACACACACACAGGTGTGCCCACTCAGCAGGTGAGCAGAGTTTAAAGTTTCAGTAAAAATTAGATTTTCTGTGAAAGTTTCACACCATTTATTTTTTCTGGGAAAGAATCATCAAAAGCAGCCAATCACAATCCAGCGATGAACTCAGCTGGCTGGCCCCCTCTACCTGCCTGGTGAGTGAAGCTGTTAGTGAGGCAGGGTTCTGCTGACAGCGAGCATGTTTACGAAGGAGAGCGGCGCGGTCTGCTAACCCTGACCCACTCGTGCTCCCACACACAGGTCATGTGACCCCCCCACACCACACCACCCCCACCCCGACTCATGCAGAAGCTTTATTCTGCAGTTTTCTTCATGGACCACTGATAAAAGGTCACATTTTTATGTCACCTGTGTGAAAAGTTTATCCTACTGCACGTTTTACATGCAATTCTTCATACCGCCTGCAGGGGGTGCACTGCTCGAAAAAACAACACTTTTAGATAAGATAAGATAACCTTTATTAGTCCCACACGTGGGAAATTTGTTTTGTCACAGAAGGACTTCAGTTTGAATTATTTTTACATTCCTCTAATCAAAGACAAGCATTAAAGGAAAAAGAACAAATCCTCTCTCTCTCGTGGATTGTAATGAGTCTGAATGTACGACACACACATCAGAATAAGAATCATTTATTGACCCCGAGGAAAAGAAAACCTGACCACAAACGGTCTGTGAACCACGTGTCCGAGAGAAACTCGACAAGAAGAAGTAACACACAAAGAAATTAGCGTTCTGTTGCTTCAGAGTCAAGTCACATTCAAAATGAGCTCTGACTGACTTTTGATGCCATCCAGGTCCACAGACGTCAACGTTTCGGACTCGTCGGCATCTGCAGCGCTCATCACGGTGCCGTTGCGATTGGACGAGATGGTGGTCGGATCACTGTGAGGGGGGAGGTGCCACAGGTTAACACTAATAAAGTGCAGGAAAACACGTTACCTGACAGGTGTGCCACTCACTCGCCATCAGTTTGACTGTAGGCCTCCTCCTCCTTTCCATGCTCTTCGTCCTGTTGGTCTTCATCTATGGTACTTGCATTGCTGGGGGCGGAGCCTCGCCTACACTCCTTCCTCCCCTCGGCAGTTTTCTTCCTCCTGCTGTCGGTGGGTGGTTTGGAAAGAGGGTGATGGACATGGAGGGAAGAGTGGCGGTGTTCTGCGACAGGAAGACAGTTTGGACTTTTAGGAGGAGATCAGAACATGAGAACCTGCTCAAGAACCTGAAAATCAACAGTCACATCTAGGGATGGGTATCGAAACCCGGTTCTTGTTGAGAACCGGTTCCCACTGTTTCAAGTCCTTGGAATTGTTTGCCATTTTTGCAAACGATTCCCTTATCGATTCCAGTCGCCCCGAATGACGTCACCACGTTGCAGAGTGTCATTTACCTGGCAGGAAACACGGCGCCTAAACGGCTCAAACGCTCAAAAGTTTGGTTATACTTTACGAGAACGGATGACAACAGGGCAACTTGCAATACTTGCAAAGCAGATATTTCATTTAAGGGCGGAAACACTACGAATATGCAAAAGCATTTGCTCACAAAACACACGATGACCTTAAATGAATGTCGTGTTTTTAATTCTGCTCCAGACTCGTGAATCTCAACCCAGCAGCAGCGGTAACGTTTGCACGTCCTCTCCCGTTAATGCGGCAGGTAAATAATCAGCTAACAGTGCATATTATGTTAGCGCGATCTGCCTTATTACAAAACCTGCCAATACTGTGCGTTTAGTGACCATGATGAGAGACAGAGTCTGGCTCAGATGCTGGCAGCTCTCGCTGCAGTCTGCCGGCAGCGTCTCCTTTCAGGCCAGGATAGACGAATGTCACCGAGCAGAGACTCAGTTTGTGGTCAAAGGTTTGCAGCTGTTTGCCACAGCAGATGATTTTCAGTAAGTGAATGTGTTTAATTGTAGGCAGGGACATTACTGGATATTCTTGTGTTATTGCTGCAGAATAATTTATGTTATACTTTGTTATTGCTACAGAAGAATATTTATTTTATTATTTTACATTTACAATGTTTTTCCTGGGGACCCTGTGACACCCATTGAAGAGCCGTAGGCTGGATCTCTTAAGATCTCAGTGTTGGGTTTGTAAGGCCATGTTACTCCTACATTTCTATCTTGTTCAAAGAGAAGATATAAAACAAAGTTCTAAGCTAATCGACCTTAGTGTTCTCCTTTTTAAAAAGAATCGATGTGAGAATCGATAAAGAATCGAATCGTTAAACAGAATCGAAAATGGAATCGGAATCGTGAAGATCTTATCAATACCCATCCCTAGTCACATCAGTTGGCTTCATCTCTGATGGTCTCCTAGCCTCCTAACGTCAGCCAACATTAACGTCATGCTGCACAAGCCCAGCTTTGGGCTTTCCAACAAGAGCTTTCCTTTCAAATGAATTCCCTTAAAGAGATTCTTTGTTGGCGATGTCACACTGACCTGATTTCACTACTGACTACAGAGATGTCTGTTTTTAACACGGAAACCTTTGTATTATTATTATGCACAGTCTGGGCAATGAGCTATCCAAAGCTTTTAACTCTTACAGGGATTAAATGTGTAGTTGAACTGTTCCTGGCTCTGGTTCTGTCCAGTTTGGATCACATTGGATGTATGTGGCTCTAAATTGAGAACAGATGGAGCTCTTTAACCACCTGAGGTCTACATCCTCATCGATGATACCAAGTAACACAGTGGAAGTATGTCATTGTTGCACTGTGAAAGATGTTCTCTGAAATCTTTAACCTCCTAGGACCTGGCATCCACATATGTGGACATCACATTTTGGGTTGTCTAGACCAAAATACAAAATTTTGCTCTACAAGGGCCTGATTTCCACTTACGAGGACATTATACCGCCTCTGTTCTATCGAAATTTAAAGCAAATATCCTCAAAAGTGGATCTCATTTCTCTCAGAAACAAAAATCAGGTAAAAAATCTGGTAATTCTTTGTTTTTACATTAATCAGGTCCCAAACAGCCCAAATGGCAAAGAGAATTTAAAAATGCATGCCATGAAAGAGTTCGGGTCTTAGGAGGTTAAAGCACAGGGTCAGAGGTCATCATAGCTTGGGGCTTGGACCTTAAGGGGTCAGTGAACCTGAAACCTGCGTCTAACACTGTAGTTAGTTGACACTGAGTTGTTTGCAGGCCTGCCAAGAGATTCAACCTTTCACCTGGGTCTGCTGCTGGGGCCTCCTAGGAGCCCCACCTAGGAGGTGTTCCTGGTCAGATACCCTAACCACATCAAATGGTTCCTTTAGATGCAGAGGAGTAGCAGCGGTATCCTAACCCCGACCCACCACCCCAAACGACCATGCACCTCACCCTATCTCTAATGGAGAGCCCAGCTACCTGAGAAAGTAACTCATTGCCACCACCTGTACCGGGGACCTCATTCGTTCCATCATTACCCACAGCTCGCAGCCATAGTTGAGGCACTGAGATCAGCTGGTAAATTGTCAGCTTCATTCTTAGCGCTCTCATCGCCATAACCGAACAGCACAGCAATCACATAAGTGATGATGATGATGCTACATCACGCTGTTTCTCAATCTCCCTTCACTCATGAACAAGATCCCAAAACTAGAACTCCTCGACCTGGGGCAGTAACTTGTTCCTCACTGTATTTGACCCTTTTCCGACTACAGACTATGGCCTCAAAGTTGGAGGACGGATTCTGATTCCAGCTTGTTCACACTCCCCAGTGCAAATTGGAAGTCATTGCTCAGAGCTGAAGAAACCAAAGCAGACATGAGATCCTGAGACCGCTGGTCCACAACCAGGATGAAAACTAACAGGTTCAACCTCTCCAGCACCCTGGTACGCTGGTTTTTATACGTAAAGAAAACTAAAGAAGTTGATATTATAGACACAGGGAACATGAAACACCTGGGACCTCCCAATTCTCAAACCTATTGACAGACAACAGGCCTTTACAACACCCCATAAAAGATACCTCAAAGAAACTTTACTGATACTTCAAAGTTTTAAGAAACTCTTGGTTAACCAAACTTTATTAAACCCTCTTAGAACCTATACGAGCGGTCCAAATCCTGGTTTTAAATCCTTTCAAAGGCGCATGGAGAAAATCCAAACGGGTCTTTCCGAGGTCTTTTGAACCCGGAGACATCTGGATGTCTTACCTTCGATGTCCTGTTCATCATAGACTCTGTGTTTCTCTGGCGGGCTGCGAGCTGCAGGACAAAGGATCTGCTGAAAGTCCTGAACATCAAAGGCCTTGTTTAGATCTTCCTCTTCTTCTTCATCAGCATGACAGTGTGGAGGAGGAGGAGGAGACTGAAGATAGAAAACACTAACTGGTGAATTAAATGTTGTGAGTCTTTCATGAACATAGCTGTTTCCAGCTGTTTTCAGATCTCGGTGCTTCCTCTGCACAGGCAACATTTCCTGTCTTTAACTTTGTTTTTAACGCAAACACACAACAACCACAAAATAAAAAGTAAAGGTGAAGGTTTCCAGCCAATCAGAACAGAGGTAGCTCACACTGACTGACACAACTGAACAAAAAGCCCAGACAGCAAACTCCCCCATAAGTGATCATTATCAGATCGATATTATTGATCGCTCATCGGTTTCTGTGGAAACTCACTGCAGACTGACTGAGGGTGTCACCAGGACTCGCTGAGCTCTGATGATGGCTCATGGCTCCCACAGGGGTCGCAGGTCACAGAGCTGGATATTCAGAAGCAGGTTGGGCAGCAGAACCTGGGGAGGGAGGTACACTGGAGGTCAAAGGTCAGGTTATTTGACGCTGTTCAGTAAATGTAAGAACTGAATCTGTTTACGAATCTGCTGATCCTGAATCTCAGAATGTGTTGAAACCTGAAATGTTTTGGCCCGTTAATCCTGCCGCTCTGAGCTGAAACGCTCTGATGTACAGAGTGTACGTCGAACACACCGTGAAACTTCAGCCTTGGTTTTTGGTCAACTTACACAATTTTAAAGGGTTAAAATTCAATTTTTAATTTCATGGAACCAAACATAAACTTAAACTAACACTCAGGACTGACTCTGCAGAAACCATGAAGCTTAATGTGAGCAGCTTCATGGGGGAACCTTGACGTCCATGTTCAGGCAGCTTGCTAATGTCCCAGCTCGCTTTAGGAGGGACGCCGGAGCTTAGAGCTTCCTGTAGGGGCTCATCAGACCTGCACGAAATCGTGAAATTGTGGTTTCTGCACAGACGCATGAGAGCTGAGGTTTCTATTCAAGAGACGGCAGACATCTCTGCCGCTGAGTTCTCCAAACCAGCACAGGGAAACATCCAGATGGATCATCAGGCCAGAGCTGAGTTTGAGCTTAGGCTTACAACTTAGGAGATGAATTTTTTAAAAATATTTGATTCCTTTAAATCAAATATGTTTGCATTTAAAAAATCAGGTCAGAAGATAACTAAAATAATTCAAGAATCTATTATTTATGTGTACTAATTATAAATACATAGTAGTCCTGATATAATCACATGACTACTAATAAAACTCTTGTAATTAACGCGTCTTGGACCTCTGTCTGTGAGCAGACAGTTCAGATCAAAATAAAACTCTCACGACATGCAAAAGGTCAGAGGTCTTTAATGATGCGACTGCGAGGGTCAGAGTGAGGGAGCAGGCGAGCTTCGGAAAAAGTCCTACGACTGTCCGTTCCAGCTGGTTCCTCGCCCTGACCCATGGTCGATGTTCCTCCTGCTTTAAAAGCCTTTGGAATGAAAGACTGTTTGACAGCCTGTTCTCATGTATGTGACCTCTTGTTTTAGCTCCACCCCCTCAGAGGCTTTAGCTTTCCTCATGGTTAAATAAGCCTCACACTGACTCACTGCTCCACTGTGTGGCACAGTGCAGAATTACACAAACACCTGTAAAACGTCAGGTGAGCTCTCTTCAGTGAAACAGGTAAACCGAGTATTCAGATCCTCATGATGCTTTAATCCACTGTCAGACATTTTTGAACAATTTTAATCAGAAATTTACAAAGAAAAAACATCTTTAATGCTTCCTGTAACCTGCAGAGTGATTCTTGTCTTACGTGATTATAAATGTACTGCATCTGTCCAGCGTGCTCACAGGCACACTGGTGCAGTGAGGAGAACAGGAAGCTTTTTCAAATAGATTTGACTGTAGTTTTGCACCTCTGTGTGATTTTCAGCAGGGCCGACAGGTGTGCTGCTGCAGGTACAGACAGTCGGGTTTATTAACTCGAAAACGTTTCAGGATCTCTGTGCAGGAAGGAGAAACGTGCCACAGCTCACACAGGAACCTGCTGTTTCCCACAGTCAGCTCGGCTAAAAGTTCAATTTTCATTTTAGAAGCAGGAATAAAAGCAGGTTTGAATAATGACATCATTAATTGTGATTTAAGTCTCGGTGCAGTTTCTCAAACTCAGAGCAGGAGCAAAAGCACGGTTTAAACTGATCTGGGCTCAGTGTCACTGCCACCGAGTGTGTGTGTGTGTGTGTGTGTGTGTGAGTGAGAGTGTGTGAGCAGGAAGAGAGTTGGAGCCTACCTCAGCGTCCTTGCAGCTCTGAAAGAGAGAAATTATAATGCAAAGTCTGAAACCAACAGGAAGAGAATGGGTGGGGGGAGGGGGCAAATGGGGGAGGGTATGGAGGGGTGGGGAGGTGGTGGTGGGGGGGAGAAGAAAGAAGGTTGAAAGGAGGAGAGGAGGCAGAGAGAGGGAGCAGAGAGGAGACGGACACGCTGCAAATGAGGCGCTCCAAACTCTCCACAGAAACCTGATCAGCTGAAGGTCACCATGGCAACCGCACTGTCACTCAGTGCTTGTCCCGCCTCCGTCTGCACACACACACACACACACAGCTGCAGATTGTCCGATGCTGTCTCTGATGACATCACACAGACAGGTAACTCCCACCTGATTCTGTCCAACCAGCACACAAAGCAGGTGACGGAGCATTTCTATTGGTCAGTGTGATCACCTGCACACGACAGCCTGAAACTCTCTGACTGATTTCTGCTGTCTGACGAACACAAAAGCAACACTAGGACCTGATCTGCAGAGACCTGAGGACAGGGCCGCCATTCAGAGTCCGGCCTGATGGTGCCTCACTGCTCTAGACTGTATATAAAAGATGGACACAACCCCTGTGATGTCACAGAGCCGGGAGTGGGCTGGAGCCAAGCTTCTGTCTCACTTTCATAGCAAACATCCTGAAGGTGGGCCTGATAAAGATGAAGATGATGAAGTCAGAAAGTCAACTTTTATTTATACACCACAAAGTGCATCACAGCAAAACAATAAATGTAAAAGATGAGTTTTCAGTCGTTTCTTAAAGAGACTGACGAGTCCACTCGGAGCTCCAGAGTCATTGAGGTGAAAGCCCGTTCAGCCTCGTATACGGTCAGCAGGACCTCGGGGACCTGCTGGGGACGTATGGCTGCAAAAGGTCAGTGATGTAAGCTGCTGTTTGTCGGTACAGAGCTCTAACAGTCAAAACCAGCCGCATCAGTGACGCCGTCCGTGAGAGTAAGATCTGTTCTCACAGCAGCGTCGTGAACAACCTGCAGATGCTCCGGCGAGTTTCTGCTTGCACCAGTGAACACTGACTCACAATAATCCAAACGTGATGAAATAAATGCACAAACAACGATTTCCAGTTCACAGCACGACACAATGGTACAATCTGCCTTAAATGATAAAACAAGAGTGACCACAGATCTAACATCCACAGTGGGAGTCACGAGTTACCCAAGTAAGTGATTAATGGGCTTTCACTACGCTGGGCACAGACAAGGACCTGTGCTTTATCTGCATTAGGCTGGAGAAGGTCATCCAAGGTTTAATGGAGTCTAAGAAGCTGTTTCAGCATCTGCAGCTTTTAAAAGACTTAAAAATACTAGTCTTAGCCTAAAAGAGATATAGAAGGGCAGACCATCTGCACAGTGGTGATAGCACACGCCCTTAAAGGTGCTCACAATGTACTGAAGTGGGAGCAGTTGGAATAGAAACAATAAGGGCCCAATACACAACCTTGATGATGATGGTGAAAGTGTTTTTCAAGAAAGTAAAGTCATCAAGAAGTCACACAGATTTGTCTGATGGAGGCTGTAACGGGGGTGGGGCTGGGTGGAGCTACAGGATGCTACGGTCTCTCTGACAACCACACTGAGACCGCCACGGTCACGGGGAGAAGACGCCGTTTCATCGCCGTACATGACTCAATTTAATAAAAATAAACTTGTGGTTTGATTGGACGAAGCTGCTGAGTGACTTATTTAAAACTGATCTTCCAGCTGGTCTAAACATTAAGGAAACGAGGCTCAATGCTTCTGCTAGCCTAGGATACACTGGAGAAAACGCAGCTCGGACTCAAGGTCAGGCTGTTGCTTTCCTGCCTCTTTTGAAAGTGTAAAAGTAAAAAGTAGTCAGAAGTAAAGTACAGATACCTGAAAAGTCTACTTAAGTACAATACTAAGTACAATAACAAAATATTTGTACCTCATTACTGCCCACCTCTGGAAACCACCGAGCAAAGGTCTGAGGATTAAGACTCAGGTGGAGCTGCAGCATTACAAACTGTACCACGTGCAGAACAACACAAACCTTATTTACCTTCAGATCACCGTGCCAGTTACCATGGTTACTGTGGCACGCTGGTAAATGCCCGGTGGCTTCTTAGTTTCATTCAGGCATTAATCGGACACACTGAGCGTTTTATTAGCTCCAGACTGAGCAGAGAGACGTCGCTCGCCGTGTGCGCACTGCTGAGAAACAGAAGCTGAGTTCACTTCATTTCTGCTGTTTCATGGAAACAGTTACTGAGGACCAATAAGTGGGCTTGCCTCTGAACGCTCAGCGTGACACTGATGAAGAGTTTTGGGACACAAGTTTTAGTAATATCATCATTTTAGCAGTATTGCAGAAAATGTTCCTCCTCCTTTAAAACACCAGAAAGATATGCTTTACAGACTGTTATCGTTTCTATGACCTCCATAAAACAAGAACACACACTGTGGTGAAGCTAGACCAGCCTTTTGTAGTTCGTCTTCTGCACATTGTAGTTTCAACACGGCAGACTTCCTGTTACAGAGACACCAGTGTAAGGTTGTTCCAGTTCTAAGTGCACGCCTCTTCCCTTTTCCTGAGTCCTCAGCAGTTCTCCTTCTCACCTTTGACCTCAGTGACGTTTTCATCGAGGTCAAGGAAGAGCGTCAGGAATAGGAGACATGAGGGACTTCTGGAATGGGTCTTGGGTCTGCAGTGCAGCTGTACTCTGGTATCTGACTAAATACTGTGTTCTCTTGTTTGTTTTGCTTACTTATAGGCACTACTTACTCTTTATTTATTGAAGTACAAACTTTTGTCACGTTAACATGTCATTTTCAACAGAGATGTGGCCGAGATAAGACAAACAGGAAGGTTAGATTCAAAGGCGAGGAGATATTGTGTCTCATATTGTGTTTGTTCATAAACCTGCTGCTAATCAAACTGGGGCAGACTGACTGTGTTATTTAAAGGCTGCATGAGAATCCTCTGCAGGATGAACAGGCGAGTTTGCTGCACTGTGATGGGTTTACAGTAGAGTGTGTGACTTGATGTTCGCTCGTGGTAGAATATCACTTCCTGTTCCTGCTCAAACACAGCGGTGTTTCTGAGTAGCTTATCTGCTTAGCAATTTAATTAAAAAACTTTTAAATACATTCTTTTTTCATAGTATAATCTTCACGTGCTTCATCCGAAGCACACTTTCTGTGTACTCACTACCTAATTTATAGCCAAAGTATTCACTCACTGTCTCTGTACTGTTTCGCTAGCTTAGCTTAGCTCGTAGCCGACTCATTAGCACCATGGCTACTTCACCTGTCCCTCCTGCACTTTCTTGCTCATTGTGTCAGATGTTTAGTTACTCCTCGGCCTCCTTTAGCAGTAATGATATCTGTAACAAATGTAGCATATTTGCAGCTCTGGAGGCCAGGATTACTGAATTGGAGACTCGGCTTCGCACCCTTCATTCACCCGTAGCTAGCCAGGCCCCTGTAGCTGGTGCAGCCGAAGATAGCGTAGGCCCCGCTAGCTGTTCCCCGGCAGGTCCCAAGCAGCTGGGGAAAGAGGGCGGCTGGGTCACGGTGAGGAGGAAGCATAGTCCTAAACAGAAGCCCCAGGTGTCTAACCGTTTTTCCCCACTCGGCGACACACCCGCCGGGGGTCAAACTCTGGTAATTGGTGATTCTGCTCTCAGACATGTGAAGCTAGAGACACCGGCAACCATAGTCAATTGTCTTCCAGGGGCCAGAGCAGGCGACATTGAGGGAAATTTAAAACTGCTGGCTAAGGGTAAACGTAAATTCAGTAAAATCATAATTCACGTTGACAGTAATGACACCCGGTTACGCCAATCGGAGGTCACTAAAATCAATATTGAATCGGTGTGCAACTTTGCCAAAACAATGTCGGACTCTGTAGTTTTCTCTGGTCCCCTCCCCAATCAGACCAGGAGTGACATGTTTAGCCGCATGTTCTCCTTAAATTGCTGGCTGTCTGAGTGGTGTCCCAGAAACGATGTGGGCTTCATAGATAATTGGCAAACCTTCTGGAGGAAACCTGGTCTTGTTAGGAGAGATGGCATCCATCCCACTTTAGATGGAGCAGCTCTCATTTCTAGAAATATGGACAAATTTATTAAACCCCCAAAATATGACTATCCAGAGTTGGGACCAGGATGCAGAGTTGCAGTCTTACACGCCTCTCTGCAGCTTCTCTCCTCCTGCTACCCCCCCAAAAACCCATCTCCATAGAGACTGTGTCAGCTCCCAAACAGACAAAAAACAAAGTAAAAACCAGCAACAAACAACTTAAACATAAACAATTACAAAGAAAGAACAATACAGTATCCACATCTGAACCAAAGAGTAAAACAGTGAAATGTGGATTATTAAATATTAGGTCTCTCTCCTCCAAGTCTCTGTTAGTACATGACTTAATAATTGATCAACAAATTGATTTACTCTGCCTTACAGAAACCTGGTTGCAGCAGGATGATTATGTTAGTTTAAATGAATCAACACCCCCGAGCCATTCTAACTACCAGAAATCTTGAAGCACAGGCCGAGGGGGAGGGGGCAGCAATTTTTCACACCAGCCTATTAATTAATGAAAGACCAAGACAGACTTTTAATTCATTTGAAAGCCTGATGCTTAACCTTGTCCACCCCAGCTGTAAAACTCAGAAACCAGTCTTACTTGTTATCATCTATCGTCCACCTGGGCCTTACACAGAGTTTCTGTCTGATTTCTCAGACTTTATATCTAATTTAGTTCTGAGCTCAGATAAAATAATTATTGTGGGTGATTTTAACATCCATGTAGATGCTAAAAATGACAGCCTCAACATGGCATTTAATCTGTTATTAGACTCAATTGACTTCTGTCAAAATGTAAAAGAACCCACCCACCACTTTAATCACACTCTAGATCTTGTTTTAACATATGGCATAGAAAATGAACATTTAACAGTGGTTCCTGAAAACCCTCTCCTGTCTGATCATTTCCTGATAACATTTACATTTACAATAATTGATTACACAGCGGTGGAGAGTAGACTTTATCAAAGTAGATGTCTTTCTGAAAGCGCTGTAAC